AAGGTAGAAGTTCAAGCTCCTTGGAAACCCTATACAGGGTTGCTATGGGTTGGAACTGACTCAATGGCATTTAACAAAAACAACAACAACACAAGGAAATACACATGATAAAAGTTTCTGATCATTCAAAGAAGCAAAAATAGGAAACAATGTATTTATAGTCTAATCAAATTCAATTTCAGTTTCAGATTTCATATTTTCTTCAGAAGGAAATAGCTCAGGAAATTAAAATGACAAGTTTCAAATGATTTACCAAATGAAATAGATATTTCATGAAACTAAAATAAAGCAGCAGACCCAAAATCAGATTTTTAAAGGAAATGTTTGAAAACTAGCTCCACTATTCTTGGACCCCTGAATAATGGAATAAGTAAAAAGACTGAGCAGAGTGAGGAGAGATGTTGTGAAAAGGAATTTTGTTGGTAGTTTTTAGAATACACCCATTCCCAGTAAAAGTAGGATGTGGTTTTTTGGATAGACAGACCTCCAAGTGGTTGATGGAGAAGAGAGCTATCATTTGACCCCTTCAGTGGCATGGAGTTTAGACTGAAGTCTGACTTTCCTTTAGAGAAAGCTAGAGATCAAGAAAATGACTCACAAACTGCTTTGGTGATGAAGACCTGTACCCTATAATTTGCCCAAATGAATGGACATTCAAATTCCTGAAAACAGTTTTGGGCCTTTAAAAATGTCCTTAAGGTCTGTTTACTGTCCAAGAGTGATCAGAAAATCTTGGAACTCTGTTGTTATGTGCCGTGGAGTCGGTTCTGACTCATAGTGACCCTGCACAGGATTTCCAAGGCTTTAAATGTTTACAGGAGCAGAAAGCCTCATCTTTCTCCCGCAGAACGGCTGCTAAGTTTTGAACTGCCGACCTTGAGGTGAGATCCCTGCTTAGAAAAGTGGCAACAGCAGAGGCAAAGGCAGAGGTGGTGGCATGGAGAGACAGAGCAGTTGCAGGCTCTAGGCTCATGGTCTGGGACAGAGGCCAAGAAGTCACATGGCTGAGAAGTTGAAGACAAGAGAGAGACTTGTCTACAGTGCAGCAGAGTAGAGGCATTCCTGACTGGAAAACTGCTGCATCCTGAGTTGTTTGTTGATCCTGTTCACTTCCCTAATAAACTCCATTGTTGTTGTTGTTGTTAAGTGCCATTGAGTCGGCATGAGTATTATTATGAGTTCTGTGTGACCACTGCAATGGGATTATGGAATCCAGATGTGAAGCAGAGAGTGTTGTGGGAGGGATGGTTGGTGTCAGAAGAGGGAAAAAAAGGTTGTATGGTGGAAGCATGTCTGACCTCCGCTTCATAGGAATCAACCTTGGGCTCATTTTCAGTTTGATTCTCTTTCCCCCATG